ATAACTGGGGCACATTGCTGCCCCAATTCTGGTCGTCATATGGTCAACATAGATTAAGCTTGCATACATTATTGTAATATGACATGGGATTGCAAAGGTGTATCTAGCTAATCATTCAGGCAATTAGAAGTAATTATGTTTATTAATAGTTTTGATTAATTAACAGTTGCTTCTTCACTTAATCCACGCCTCACTTTCGGTTTCAGGCTCCATCTTGGTCGAACAAAAAACCGGGCCAATCTTTCCCCACCCTCCTTAAAACATCTTAAAACATATTGAGCACCTGGGAAACAATGGGGAAACATCATCTATAATCCTGTCCCCCCAATACGAAGCAGCCCCATTCTGTGTTCCTAAGTATATGTAATGCCCCTACTAAGCCATGGTCTTGGGATGTTTTGGGATGTTGGTGGCACCCACGCTATTTTATTTTCAAAATCCGAGGACGGGGGCTTGCCGCTTGCTTTTTTCAGCAGAGACAACGAGGTCCCAAGCTTGGATCGGTTCAGTCGGAATGCAGCTGCTGTGATCTTTTGAACTTTCTGGGGTTGTTCTCGACTACAGGAGCCGATCGATGGAGTGTGCGGAACCTAGTGACCTAGTGGTCGTGTTCCACCAACAATTTTTTTTGAGGCACCATCTACAAAAAGAGTTTTTGTTCGGCCTCACCAAAGCTGGGGTAGGTTTTTTTATGTATAGGCCTGGCATATCGCAAATCTGAGTGCCCTGGGGTAATCAGCTCCGTGGCTTGCTGGAAACTACCCCAGCTATAGTTCAATGATTTTCCCAGCCAATATCAATCAACTGAACCTCCATTTGCAGAGGATTTCCTATGGTTCCTATTGGTTTCCCATTCCCACTAAAAGCGCCATTTAGTGGGGATTTCACAGTAAATTGGTGACGGGGTCACTAGGAAGTCAGAAACACGAACTTTCCAAAGTCATGCAGATACCCCCCCAAATCCTCCAAGTCATGGATGACCTCACCTGGTTGTAGCACCACCCAGCTCGCGCGAAAATCCGTCCTTTGAGGCTGCACACAGTGCACAGAGGTCAAGGTTTCGAGCTGTTCTTCGACAAGGTGGGTTTCGATGTGGGGATGTGGCTGGAAATCCCCGAAAAAAGGTGAGTTTGATGAGTTTTGAATGGGCAAATCATTTCTGTATAAAGAAGAGACTCTGAATTGCCATGTTTGATTACCAGAGGGCAACCATCAAAGATGATGGTTTTCATCATCCAAAAACAGGGATTCAGCTACGGAAGAATTTCAGGGCCCTTCGCCAGCTAACTGCTTTATAGCTAGGCTCACGGTTGAGTTTATGGTGCATATATCTATATTTAATTATATTTACGCATATTGCCCAAGAACAGAATCGCAGTGTAACAACCAGTGAATTTCTAAAACCTAAAGCAAAACAGATGAAATTGTGTTGACGCTCGTTGGGAGTCCGGGCAAACCATGGGGTTTTGCCATATAGTTTGATGGGATTATGAACCTATTTAGACAGCAACTGGAGGGCACTGCATAGCAGGATGGATGTGGGTTTGTCCAAGAATGGGGTGTATCGGTATTAGCCCCAAAATTGCCACTAGAAAATTGGGAAAATATTGTTCCACACAATGGGAATTTCAATGTAATGGAGGTATAGATTTCGAACAATGGAAGATGCTGTAATTAACCAACAAGGATGGAAATCATCCACAAAAACAAATCAACACACACACATTTTATGTGGATATATATATAATGCGATTAAATGTGGAATGTAATGGGATAAAATTGGATATACAACCATGTGACATGATGTGACATGCGGGTTTGTCCAAAAAATCGTATTGCCATTCACAAAGTAATTGGAAAAGTATGGTTTAAACGTTTAAACAATGGAATGGGCAAAGGCAAAACCGTGCAGCGATACATGTCGGTCAAGCGGAGGAACATCGTTGCCCTAGTTCTTGGGTGTTTGCCGTGGAGGTGAGTGAATTTCTTTTCAGCCAATTCACAGATGCCCCCAGATACCTACAGATACCTACAGACTTATTTTCTTCCGGCATTTACTATCTCATACATAGAATCTCTGATTCGGATCTGTACATGTACCTCTGTGTGTGTTCATGTTCTGTTTGTTGATCTAAATATTGTATGCATTATGCATGGTATAAGGATCAGCCCATTGTAAGCATGCCTTGGAGTAGCTTGGGTTTTGTTAGCTGTATTTGTGCTTAAAACCCTGAGAATTGGACTGACTGGTAACCAAAGCGAGGAATCATTCAGGACACTTTGGATGGTGACTGAAGTCCAATGACAAGAGCAGGAATCGAACTATAGCGACTGTTTCCAATATCCAATACCCTCTGGTAAACTAACATAACTATGGAAAATCACCATTTTCAATGGGAAAATCCACTATTTCGACTGGGCCATTTTCAATAGCTATTTTGACATAACCAGAGGGTACAACTGGGAAGTTGTTTTGGATGGCCTGTTCCAATATCCAACGATTCGCGGATCGAGAAACGCAAAGGGAATTCACGAAGAATTCACGCCGTTCCGCCCATGGGATGATCCTCCCAACACTCTGCCAGCGACGTAGTCTGGCGTGCCGAGTATCCCCCGGAAAGCGACGTCAAGATTCCAGAGCGCCTTGATCCGTCTACCCTCTGGTAAACATACAAAAAGCTATTGAAAATGGCCATTTATAGTGGATTTACCCATTGAAAATGGTGATTTTCCATAGTTACGTTAAATTACCAGAGGGTAGTTGGTTGAATCGACAAACAGCGGCAAACATGTCAATATTTTCATACATGTCGATTTGTGTCTCCAGATTGACATCTGAAAAACTCCGCTGTGGGCTCCATTTCAATAGCAACTTGTGAAATTCATCCACCATCAACCAGGGTACCTCTCAAGTCGTGAGGCCTACTCCGCGCTGCGACGGTGCCAGGGGAGCCAGGGGAGCCAAGCTGTTTCAAATGATATTGATATTCCTTTGCTTTGGCATGTTTCAGGGATGATTTGAGTTTTGGGATTGGATCAAAGTGTGTGACCTTAGAACTTTCATGAAGTTAAAATATTGAGCACTACCCCCTGGTAAATTGACATAGCCCTTGAAAATCCTTTGTTTATAGATGAAATCCCAGATTTTCCTGACTTTAGTTCGGGGATTTCCCATTGCCATGTTTGATCACCGAAGAATAATTTTAGGGATGCCAAGCTTGCCGCTGGCCGAGGATTGTTGGGGCCATGGACAGGACACGGATGGGATGAACTTCAAATTCACCCCCCAAAAAAGATTGAATAGTTCCCCAAGCGGTTGAGTTGAATAGTTTGATAGTAGAAGATACCTAAGATACATAAGATACCCAAATTTTCCTATATTAATATATAGATTTAAATTCCCGATTTCTGTTGAAATTTGGGTGTCATCGGTGCATGTTAGTGTACTGGAGGGTATACATGTTTTCTGAAAGATTGCAGGAGTGGTCACAGAACGAGGCCCAATGGTGGGCTCCAAGTGCACCGCAGCGGGCCAGGCGGGGGTCCCTGCATGATTGGATGTTGGATGTTTGCGGATGTTGGTGATGAGTGGGAATGCCACTCAATAAACATTCTTCCTCTTTTTGTGCCAATTGCCGAATTTGGTGTTTTTTTCCAGGCACTTGCCATAGCTTGGCCGCAAAAACGGAGGGTTCCCCCCATTTTGTTTTCTTGAAATCCATTGATTTCACCGAGAGGCAGACTCACAAAAAGCCCAAGCGAGGTCGACAGGCCAACAGCCAGGACGGATCATGGCAGATCGATAGATAGGTACCGTATGATAGCGTAGACTAGTAGAGTATCTTTGGATACTTGTTGTGGAATGACGATATGATTTTAGCATTTTCAACTGCCGTCTGTATACATTTTTTTCTCCACCACCTTCACCGGAGGACTGGTGGTGGCCACAGTGGCGCAGAGGCCCAAAGGGCCCCTTGGTCTTGTGGTATGGGTAGGCCGTGAGCTTGGGCGGCCTGGAAGATTCAGCAGATTTTGATCACTGGTTGGTGGTAATCATTTTGATGCCTGGTACTTCTGGTATATATATATATAATATAATGTTCATTTGGTTGGTGGTTCCAAACATTTTTTATTTTCCAGAATATATGGGATAATCCTTCCCATCGACCAATATTTTTCAGAGGGGCAACCAGATGCCCATGGTGTCCCAAAGATTGTTAAGTCGGTTTACAACTCTAATATGTTGAGACTTATGGTAGATATCTGGCACTAGATAATGGGTTTATAAACCAACTTTGAACTTTGGGGCGCCACTTCATGATATTCCGTGATTCCATGATATTCCTACATCATTTGAGAGACCTGAATTTTTTGTTTTTTACTTCTTATGTTTTACAGTAAATGAGAGTCATTTGGGACATTTTGACTGTAGAGTGTTTTTTTCGTGTTTTGGGGGAATGCCTAAACAACAAATTCGAGACGACTTCAGTGTCCTTTAATGTCCTTTATACTTTCGTTTATTCTGCTGAGAATTTGCATTTCTGCGAGTCATTGGCCAAATAATTGCATCAATCGTCAATGTTTGGTGCTTGTTGGCTACAATGGCTGAATTGTTGGCGGGAATTGGCATATTGCAAGAATCCCAATAGTAAACGAATCGGTGGTTTCAATATATTCTTATTCTGCATTCTCAACCGCAGCTGGGGACTGCCATGAAGTGATGTCAACATAACATATGCAATTTTTATCCGACCGTAAATCTCAAATAATAAAATGAATATGTCATAGCTCTGCGTGTTCAACACGCATGTGGATTTGTCACAGTTTGTTTGTGAATTAGGTATAATATGGTGTGTATATAATATATATATATATATACTGTATGTATACTCCAAGTTATAGCCATACAACAGGGAAAAATTGTTCTTCGAACTGTTTGTGTGAATGCTGTTGAACGTTTGATCGCCTGTTATTCCTCTAGGCTCTAATCAGGGTAGTCCATGAGTTGTGCTAAGTGTCACCAAAGTGCTCCTAGTGGAAACGACACTTGGTGCATAGGCTGCACGGGGTGGGAAGCTCTCGAGAGTGAGCTCAAGGGTAGGTGGCACAGCGCTGCTGTGCGTTCACTGGCCAACGATCAGGTTGTTAGCGCTGTGAAACATATCCGAGCGCTCAGGCTCTACTCAGCCAACGTCAAGAGCGCTGAGGACTCTCGCGCTGCTCGGGCCAGTGCTGAGAAAAGAGTTTCCCTTGAGAGGGACGATCGTGCTCCACTCCCTCGTTCCCGTGACGTTGAAGCCCGAGGCTCTGTCAAAGAGGGACCTGACTCAGACGAGTCCGAGGAGGAGAGTCAAGAGAGCTCCCACCACCAGTGCTTAGCCGCCAAGAGTGATCCTGCTCGCCGTCCACCTGAACCAGCCCATCCACCTCGAGGACATCGAGTAGACGAGGACAGACATAGGGATATAGGAGCTGAGGAGAGAGAACCTGCCACCTCTGGCAAGAAGCGCAAGAAGCGAGACAACAGAGGAAATCGCGCTGGTAAAAAGCATCAACGCTTGCACCGTGCGCTTGAGGATCCCTCGATTAGACTCCATCGCAGGCCCCCGGGCCATTTCTGGGACAACCCTGACCGTATCTCAACGAGAGATCAACACCAATCAAGACGTCATGGATGAGGAAGACTTCACGTTCTTTGACATTTCCAAGCCGGAAGAATGGGAGCTTTTGACTTTGCAAAGAGGACAGGTGATAGAAGCAGAGGTGGATGTTTCAGAAAATCCCGCAGAGGGCAGTGTTTGGGCTGGCTTTTTGGTGCAAAAGGTCGAGCTCACTATAGCTGGAGAGATGGCTGTCACAGTGCGGAGCCTGGGAAGCGAAGATGCTCAGGCGACCAAACGGATGTCATCTCTCTTCAACAGGAGAAGGGGGGTGATTCATCTCTGCTCGGCTATATGCGCTGGAGAAGACATCTACGCCTTGCACATTGGAAGTTTCAGAAGGTTCGACCTGGTGAACTTCCGCCGCAGCTACATCACCCACTCTGTCAAGCAGATGATAAAGAAGTGGGAGAAAGAAATTATTCTGGTGGACCACTGGTGGAAGACGATGGCGACAACATAGACCTGACAGGATGCGATCACCTCGCTGGCAAAGCGCCGGGCCGAGTGGAAACTTCTCCCAAGGCTGCTGCACCGCCTGGGGACTTAAAGCTTCCCGCTGCTGGAAGGGCGGCGCCAAAACGTCGCGCGGCAGAAAAGGAGGAGGCAGGAGTTCCGAACAAGGAGATAGACAGGGCAAAACTTCGGGAACGTCTTGCTCGAGCCAAGGAAAAGCTGGCTGGGTCTGCTATCCCGGATGGCGCTGGCACACCGGCCTTGCCGCCCCGGGCTGGTGGCGATGGGGAGGCCGACGAGGCATCTTCCTCAGAGCCATATTCCGCCTCTGTGGGGGAAGACCTGCCGAGGGAGCTAGCAGTCGGGACCGAACTGGAAGCGCTGGAGGATGGTACTCCGGGCGGCGCCCGACTGGTTCCAGCAGACCGAGACAAGGCCAAGAAGAGGAAGAAGGAGAAGAAGCGAGAGAGGGACCTCTCTGGCCTGGGTTCAGGCGTCCTGGCCAGGGTGGCTACAAGAGGTATTACTTCAGGCGCATTGCAAGAGCAGCTTCTTCATCGAGCAGCCGAAGCAGTCACTCGAAAGGAGGCCAAGAAGAAGGACCAGAAGAAGAAGCACAAGAAGAAGAGTGCGGAGAAGCGGTTGATTCAGATCCTTACCAAGAAAGACAAGAAGGAGAAGAAGTCAAAGAAAAGGAAGAAGAGGCCAGGCCCAGGAAGTTCCGGAGATCCGGGGGATTCAGGATCCCCGACAAACAGCTCAGACGAGAACTCGTCAGGGCCTTTGGAGGAGTCCAGTGGAAGCGAGAGTGCCAACCTGGAAGCACCTCTCCGGAAGAAGTCCAGGGAAAAACCTGGGTCAGTACTGGCCTTATTGGTGGAACACGCCCGGCAGCAGCTGGACCAGACGTCCAAGGTTGCCATACAGCCGAACCTCAAGCTGGACCCAACCAAAGGAGTGCGGATCAGCAGCTACTTCTCCATAGTTGTCCGGCCGCAACTGGGAGCGGTGAACGCTCAGATTCGCGAGCTGCACCATCTGAGCAGCGCGATCGATGCTCTACGCCAAGGAGATTTAGATATCCTAGGCGATCTGCTGGCCAGTCGCTTCATTGCGATTCATCAGAGCATGATCGACAACAGCTGGACGGCTGCAAGGCATTTGGAGCTATTGCCGCTGGAAGAAAATTCCGCTGCCGGCAGCGGTGTACTCTTGGAGGCAAGAAAGTACGCAAAGCTCAATGCCAAGCTGAACAACCAGGAGCAATGGGGCAACTACAGCTATGGAAAGGGGCGCGGCGGAAAAGGTCGCCCCTACAACTGGAACGACAACAGCTGGCAGGCAACGGAGCAAAAAGGAAAAGGCAAGAAGGGCTCCAAAGGCAAGAACAAAGGCAAGAACCAGTGGCAAGGGTCACAAGGAAGAGGAGCAGAAGCCGACGGGGGGAGACAGAAAGAGGTCATCCCCGAGAAGTAGGAGAGACGAGTTTCACCTGTGGGGCGCTGGCAACGACCGGGCATGCCCTAACAGTAGGTGAGGAGGAAGCAAACCGGGCTCTTAGCTTGAGCTTTGAGGATTCACTGGCCAGTTGTGGTAATTTCAAAAGTACAGGCTGTGCCCTATGCTGGTGGATCTTGGCTGGGTCTGCTTCACCCGCGCCAGATTCTGTCACCCAGGAGTTGTTTGACAGCTGGATTCGTCCGTTTGCCGTCACAACATCCTCGGGCCGTGCGAAAGCACGCGGCTCGACTTTTCCCATCCGCGAAGGAGATCTTTGGGAGTTTGCAGATTCAGATGTTTTTAGGTCCTTGAGTTTTTCGGACGCTGTCTCTGACGTGCAGGTGAGGACTCACTGGATTGATGCATGGACCTTCTTGACTCTTAGGAGTTTGAACTCTCTGTATGGGAGCACGGCTGGATTAGCTCCGGGCCGTTGGTCTAAAGCAGAGCGCCGCGCTGCAGCTTCTGTGCGAGCGGCCATTCTCCGAAAGGGAGAAGGTGACATATCCCTTCAGCCTATGACCGCTCAGTCATGGCAAAAGGATCTGAGTGGCAGACAAATTGGTTATAATGGGGAAGAGATGAGCACTTGTCACGTTTTAACATGGGATCAGGTTATCCCTTCACTTCCCCCTGAAGGTCATGGAGGATGCATTGAAGCGCTGGATTGGGTTGGACCTAGGACAAGAGAATTCCTTCTGAATCCCAAACTACTTCTTAAAGATCCTGAAACTGTTGTGTTGCCGAAAATGCCGGGGAAGATACATATGGATAAAGGGGATACTTTGAGGATTGCTTTGGAATTGGTCAAGCGAAACATTTGTGGTTGGATTCCGTTGTCAGAAGTTTACAGTGTAGGGGAAGTTCCCATCCTGAATGATTTATTTGGTGTAGCAAAGCCATCTCTGCTGGATGACCAGAGGCCTGTATTGAGATTAATAATGAATTTGGTGGGGTCCAACGCCACGCAAGAGCAGTTAACTGGGGGTACATCAACTTTACCAACTATCACTTCATGGCAAAGTATTGTGTTGGATCAACATGAGCGGCTGGAGTGCAACCAATCAGATATGAGCAGTGCTTTCTATCTATTCCGATTGCCGCACATTTGGCAAAGATATTTGGCTTTCAATTTGTTGGCGTCCCCTCAGGATTTAGGACTTCAAGGCGAACTTCCTTTTGCACTTTGTTGTACGGTTATTCCCATGGGTTGGCTGTCCAGCGTTGGAATCATGCAAGAAATTTCAGAGTCACTACTTAAGCACCATCTTAACCCTCGTAATCAGGTTTCTCGCGGTAGACCGCTGCCGCCATGGTTTTCTGACTTGCTGGATTTTTCCCATCATGAAGATAAACATTGGTGGCATGTCTATTTGGACAACTTTTGCTCTGGCGAGCGTTTGGAGCCAGGGCAACCGAGCGTGAAAGGAAAACTTTGTCATGAATCAGCGGAGGCCGCATGGGCATCAGCCGGGGTAGTATCCTCGCAGAAAAAGAGGGTGTCAGCAGCGACTCGCATTACAGAGCTTGGAGCGGAGATTGATGGGGAACAAGGAATGCTTGGAGTCAGTACAGCAAAGCTGGTGCATATCATCCAATCAACCTTATGGCTTTTATCTCAAAAACTGATAAAAAGGAAATTGCTACAGATAATTGCTGGTCGGTGGATTTTTGTACTACAATTTCGAAGACCTGCCATGGGTTTCCTTCGACAAACTTGGATCTTTATTTCAGGGAATCAACGCATTACTCCAAGTTTGAGAAAAGCAGTTCGAGCGGAGCTTTTGGACCTGGTAGCAGTGGCTCCTCTTCTTCATTGTAATTTAGCAGCAAAAGTTTCCACACAACTGGGGGTTAGCGATGCATCCAACACTGGAGGGGCAGTCGGCTTTGCAGAAGGGCTCACCGAAGAGGGCATGGACTTTTTAGCAGCTGTGAGGAAAGTGGAGGCCCATGGCGGGGTGATCCACGCCCCCATCCTGATTTTGAGTTTATTCAACGGGATAGGCGGGGCCTTCCGTGCTTACGATGTGGCAGCCGTCTGCCCTCAAGGGCGAATTGCAGTCGAGCTGGACGAAGGGGCTAATAGAATAACTTCAAGAAGGTGGCCGGGCACAATATTTGTTCAAGACGTGAGATCGATTGACAGGGCTTTGGTGCGACAATGGAGCCTGGCCTTCTTACAGGTCCAAGAGGTGCATGTGTGGGCAGGCTTTCTATGCAAAGACTTGACATCAGCAAAACATGGGCGTCTTAACTTGGCTGGGTCACAAAGCTCACTGTCTTGGGAAATTCCGAGGGTCTGTAAATTGGTGGAAGATGAATTTGGGAAGAACGTGGTTGTAAAGAAAGTGCTGGAGAACGTAGCATCCATGGATCGATCTGCAGCTGAGGAAATCAGCCAAGACTTTGGTGCCATTCCATACAGGTTAGACTGCTCACAGGCGGTCCCTATGCGGCGGCCACGCTTTGCATGGACCACTGAACAGCTGGAATCTTTGTTGCCGGACGTAAGAGTTTCTGTGGCATCTTATTGGAAAGAAGTTAATGCGTCTGCCCCCTATCCTGAAACAGCACAGTGGATAACCCCTGGCTATACTTGGGAAGGGGAACAGCTTGGAGCAATATTTCCGACATGTATGCGGTCAATACCTCGAGATGTTCCCCCGCCAAAGCCAGCGGGACTGGAAAAATGTGATCGGGCTTGCCGACAAAGATGGTATGAAGACTATTACAGATATCCTCCCTATCAATACAAGTCGGAATTTTTAATCAGATCCCCAAACACTTGGAGACTCTATCTGCTGAGGAGAAGGAACTACTTTTGGGATATGGTTACAAACATACGTCTTTGGCTTGGTCAGCTTCGAAACAAAAACAAAACAAACTGGGGTTCAGTGACGCTAGGCATGGTTATCTGGGTGATTCCTTCAGCATTTATTCATTCGTATTACTGGCGGTGGCATGTTGCAGGCAATTTATTCCAGTGATCCCCTACAAACTTCTTTGCTTGAGGATGGGTTTGGCACCGGGCTTTATTGCACACTACCGTAGTACGGTTCCCCTTTGCAGGTCACTATCATATGGGTCCCAAAAACAAACTGGAGAGTTAATCACCACTGGGATGGCTTTGTTTAACCGAATGCTACTTCGTAGAACAAACCATACAGGCTCAGACATACGAGTTGTTACAGGTGAAATCCTCAATTCACGGTCCTTCCCCCGGCAGTCGGTGTCAGCTCAATGGTGGAATTGGAAGGTTGCATTTACTCACAAATGGAAACAAAAGAGTCATATAATGTTTCCCCCGGATTAATAAACCCCCCCCCCCTATAGGTCAACTAGGTCAACAAGGTCCAGTGAGGAGGTCCAAAAACCGAACCCCCCAAATAATGTGACCATTCATTCATCCATAAACGATTATTATAAGATTCCTATGGGAAAAGATTGGAAAACCTATGGTAAACAATCAAATTCCTATGGGGAAACATTAGAAAATTAATGATAAACCATCAGATTCCTATGAGAAAAGGTAAGAAAACCTATGGTAAACCATCAGATCCCTATGGGTTTCTCATAGGAATCTGATGGTTTATCATAGGTTTTCTTACCTTTTCTCATAGAAATCTGATGGTTTATCATAGGTTTTCTCATCTTTTCTCATAGGAATCTGATGGTTTATCATAGGTTTTCTCATCTTTTCTCATAGGAATCTGATGGTTTATCATAGGTTTTCTCATCTTTTCTCATAGGAATCTGATGGTTTATCATAGGTTTTCTCATCTTTTCTCATAGGAATCTGATGGTTTATCATAGGTTTTCTCATCTTTTCTCATAGGAATCTGATGGTTTATCATAGGTTTTCTCATCTTTTCTCATAGGAATCTGATGGTTTATCATAGGTTTTCTCATCTTTTCTCATAGGAATCTGATGGTTTATCATAGGTTTTCTCATCTTTTCTCATAGGAATCTGATGGGTTTTCTCATCATAGGAATCTTATCATAGGTTTTCTCAGCTCACGGAAAGGCTCTCTGCAACGATAAAAAGTCAACTTTTCCCATCATCATGAGCCAAAAAACCTTTGAAACCAGTGTGTTTGGCAATAGCGTGGCTTCGACCTAATGAAAGCACAGTTCTTGCAATGAAAGAGAGTCACCTCTTCCCAACATGATGAGCCAACCCACAAAAAACCTCTGAAACCAGTGTGTTTGGCATTAGCGCGGCTTCGATACTGAAAGCACAGCTCTTGCAATGACAGAGGGCCACCTCTTCCCAACATGATGAGCCAACCCACAAAAAACTTCTGAAACCAGTGCGTTTGGCATTAGCGCGGCTTCGACCTAATGAAAGCACAGCTCTTGCAATGAAAGAGAGTCACCTCTTCCCAACATGATGAGCCAACCCACAAAAAACCTCTGAAACCAGTGTGCTGGCAATAGTGCGGCTTCGACGTACGGAAAGCACAACTCTGGCAATGAAAGAAAGCCACCGTGAAGTAATTAGAGGGAATGTGTAGAAGCAGGCAAAGGTAGCTAACATAACAGCAAGACATTGGCAGAGAAAGACGCACAACACACAAGCATTCAAGCCAGCTGTGTGCCACCCCCGGGCTGCAAGACGCACCCTCCGGGAATCTAAGCCGCTGTGTGCCACCCCCGGGCTGCAAGACGCACCCTCCGGGAATCTAAGCCGCTGTGTGCCACCCCCGGGCTGCAAGACGCACCCTCCGGGAATCGAACCTGGGTCCATCGGCCCAAAGCCTATTCAATACCACTATGCCACGGGGGCTTGCCCTAAATGGCAAAAAATGGCTTTATAGAACCACTGACTGGGCCTGGAAGGGGTTTGCCGGAATCAAAAACACAATGCGCAACACCCCCCTAACCCCCCAACCAAACCCGCAGCCAAACCCCCAAACAACATCAAACAACCCCCCCTAATTAATGAAACCCCCCCAAATAACCCTCCCCAACCCTTTGGTAGTGGCCTCCAGCTCACGAAAGGCTCTTGCAACGATAAAAAAGTCACTTTTTCCCATCATCATGATACAAAAAACCTCTGAAACCAAGGTGTTTGGCAATAGTGCGGCTTCAACCTACTGAAAGCGCAGCTTTTGCAATGAAAGAGAGACACCGCTTCCCAACATGATGAGCCAACCCACAAAAAACCTCTGAAACCAGTGTGTTTGGCAATAGCGCGGCTTCGACCTAATGAAAGCACAGCTATTGCAATGAAAGAAAGCCACCTCTTCCCAACATGATGAGCCAACCCACAAAAAACCTCTGAAACCAGTGTGTTTGGCAATAGCGCGGCTTCGATACTGAAAGCACAGCTCTTGCAATGACAGAGGGCCACCTCTTCCCAACATGATGAGCCAACCCACAAAAAACTTCTGAAACCAGTGTGTTTGGCAATAGTGCGGTTTCGACCTACTGAAAGCACAGCCCTTGCACTGATAGAGGGTGCCTTCTATCAAATTACGTCGTCGTTGTGGTAGTTGTAGTTGTAGTTGTAGTTATAGTAGTAGTAGTAGTAGTAGTAGTAGTAGTAGTAGTAGTAGTACTAGTAGTAGTAGTAGCAGCAGTAGTAGTAGTAGCAGTAGTAGTAGTAGTTGTTGTTGTAGTACTTTGTAATACTTTGTAGTATTAGTAGTAATTATTAGTAGTTTTAGTAGTATTAGTAGTATGAGTAGTATTACTAGTATTAGTAGTATTAATAGTAGTAGAAGAGGAAGAAGTAGCAGTAGTAGCAGTAGTAGCAGAAGCAGTAGCAGCAGCAGTAGTGATAGTGGTAGTAGTAGTAGCAGTAGTAGTAGTAGCAGTAGTATTAGCAGTAGTATTAGCAGCAGTAGTAGTAGCAGTAGTAAAAAGTGCCACATTAGAAAAACATATTTGCGAGGTGGATGAGGAAAGATCAGGCAATGTTGATATAGTTGTTGAACTAATTCATTACTTAATTGATTGCAGTCTGAAGCACTCATATAAAAAACTCATCGCGGCTGGCTGGGGTTTACTAATTGGGGGGGGCGTCCTTTTATTTGTGGGGGGGACACCGCTCAAGGGGGGTAGGCCTTTGTGAGCTCCCAGAAACAGCATTTTTTAATTAGATTTTAATTAGAAATCGATCATTTGGGGGATGCGTTTTTTTTTTTCCAGTTTTGGCGTCTTGAAACTGGCACATTGCAAAAGTATATTATACTTGCGAGGTGGATGAGGAAAGATCAGGCAATGTTGATGTAGTTGTTAAACTAATTCATTGCTGAATTGATTGCAGTCTGAAGCACGCATATAAAAAAGTCATCGCGGCTGGCTGGGGTTTACTAATTGGGGGGGGGCGTCCTTTTATTTGTGGGGGGGACACCGCTCAAGGGGGGTAGCCTTTCTGAGCTCCCAAAAACAGCATTTTTTAATTAGATTTTAATTAGACATCGATCATTTGGGGGATGCGTTTTTTTTTGCCAGTTTTGGCGTCTTGAAATTGCCACATTGCAAAAATATATTTGCGAGGTGGATGAGGAAAGATCAGGCAATGTTGATGTAGTTGTTGAATCAATTCATTGCTTAATTGATTGCAATCTGAAGCACGCATATAAAAAAGTCATCACGGCTGGCTGGGGTTTACTAATTCGGGGGGGCGTCCTTTTATTTGTGGGGGGGACACCGTCAAGGGGGGTAGCCTTTCTGAGCTCCCAGAAACAGCATTTTCTAATTAGATTTTAATTAGAAATCGATCATTTGGGGGATGCGTTTTTTTTTCAGTTTTGGCGTCTTGAAACTGGCACATTGCAAAAGTATATTATACTTGCGAGGTGGATGAGGAAAGATCAGGCAATGTTGATATAGTTGTTGAACTAATTCATTGCTGAATTGATTGCAGTCTGAAGCACGCATATAAAAAAGTCATCGCGGCTGGCTGGGGTTTACTAATTGGGGGGGGCGTCCTTTTATTTGTGGGGGGGACACCGCTCAAGGGGGGTAGCCTTTCTGAGCTCCCAAAAACAGCATTTTTTAATTAGATTTTAATTAGAAATCGATCATTTGGGGGATGCGTTTTATTTTCCAGTTTTGGCGTCTTGAAATTGCCACATTGCAAAAAATATATATTTGCGAGGTGGATGAGGAAAGATCAGGCAATGTTGATGTAGTTGTTGAATCAATTCATTGCTTAATTGATTGCAATCTGAAGCACGCATACAAAAAAATTCATCGCGGCTGGCTGGGGTTTACTAATTGGGGGGGGCGTCCTTTTATTTGTGGGGGGGACACCGCTCAAGGGGGGTAGCCTTTCTGAGCTCCCAAAAACAGCATTTTTTAATTAGATTTTAATTAGAAATCGATCATTTGGGGGATGCGTTTTTTTTTTCCAGTTTTGGCGTCTTGAAAGCCACATTGCAAACGTATATTGTACTTGCGAGGTGGATGAGGAAAGATCAGGCAATGTTGATATAGTTGTTGAACTAATTCATTGCTTAATTGATTGCAGTCTGAAGCACGCATATAAAAAATCATCGCGGCTGGCTGGGGTTTACTAATTGGGGGGGGCGTCCTTTTATTTGTGGGGGGGACACCGCTCAAGGGGGGTAGCCTTTCTGAGCTCCCAAAAACAGCATTTTTAATTAGATTCTAATTAGAAATCGATCATTTGGGGGATGTGTTTTTTTTCCAGTTTTGGCGTCTTGAAACTGCCACATTGCAAACGTATATTATACTTGCGAGGTGGATGAGGAAAGATCAGGCAATGTTGATGTAGTTGTTGAATAATTAATTGCCCAATTGATGGCAACTTCACAAAAAACATCTGAAACCAGTCTGTTTGGCAATAGTGCGGCTCGACCTACTGAAAGCACAGCTCTTGCAATGAAAGAGAATCACCTCTTCCCAACATGATGAGCCAACCCACAAGAAACCTCTGAAACCAGCGTGTTTGGCAATAGCGCGGCTTCGACCTAATGAAAGCACAGCTCTTGCAATGAAAGAGAGTCACCTCTT